TGGTTTAAACTGACCTTGCAGTCCAGTGCTTACCCTACATCACCAAGCCTTCAGCAACTAAGCTATCCTGAGCCAACAGCACCACTTAGTGTCCAATAAGGAATCTAACACAATGTTACATCCTGGCATTGCTCTTCTTGTTTCCCTACCCACAGAATTACTCTTTGCTCTTTCGTTCTGTCTTCTAAGCCTGGAAGACCTAATTGCCATTCATTTACTATGCCATGATCTTTCTCTTCCCATGCTTTTACATTTGTGTTCTCTTTGCCCTTTTCTCCAACTAATTCCTACTCATCTTTCAAGATCCATCTGAACATCACCTTCTCTGCCGCTCCCATTGTTGTTAAGTGCTATTGAGTTGATTCTGGCCCATAGTGACCCTATGCATGGCTTTCTAGGAGCAGCTGGTGAGTCTTAACCACTGACCCTGTGGTTCACAGTCCAGTGCTTATCCTATAGTGCCATACCAGGAGTTCCTGTCTCTCCTTGCCAGCCTTAGAAGCCTCCTTAACCATCATTTTATAACATTTAGGGGTCTTAGCATATCATGTGTAGCAATGTAAATTAAAAAAGTAATGCAAGTTTTTCAGAGTGAAGACTCTGAATGAATCTTCCTTGTCTTTGTAGTGACTCTTCTACACCATATAGCACAGTACCAACCACGGGGATGAAAGACAATAGGGGGCACAGCTAGACTTGGACATGAGTCCTAGCTACACTACAGACCAGCTCTAAGGCAACATAAAATCTAAGTCCCATTAAGGATTAAATGAGATCCTGCATGTCAGATATTTAGCAAAGGATATGACAAAAAGTAAGTCCTCAAAGAGTCAAATGCTAGGACATGGGCCAAATTGATATAAGGTAATATTTCCTATAAATAAATATATTTCTTCTCTTGGCCATTAATCTAGGGAGGGTCTTTTTTCTCCCCTTTCTTCTTGCATTCTATACTATGTCTTCTTGGTTCTCTTTATTTCTTCATGTAAGCCAAAATGTGATCTAATTGTTTCTGATAAATTTAACAGTAGTGTATTTTTGTTCAAGTGCCATCGAGTCAGTTCTGACTCATAGTGAGTTTGTATAGAGTTTCTAAGAAGCAGCTGGTAGGTTTGAACCACTGACCTTGAGGTTAGCAGTCCAGTGCTTATTCTGCAGTGCCACACCAGGACTACATAGTAGTACCAGCCATATCCTTTCATCAGAGACAAGGAAAACCATCCATATATACAGAAATTAGACATGAAAAAAGGAGCCCTGAGCTTTGGAAGGTCTGTAAATGTCCCCATGTCTCATTCAGAATCACTGTCATCCAACATTAAATACCTACATGAGCAAGGCCCTGTGCTTGGGAAGACATTGTCTCTACCCTCCAAGATTTTACAGTCTGGGGGGAATAAAGACATAAGCAAATCTAATACCTAGTGCTTCCTGTGTGCTACCTGAGGTACAAATTGCAA